TCATAACACCAGCTCCACATTTTCCTTTCACTCCTCATCATTACCTCGATTGACCTTTTAGTTTGTCCTCTGCTTCCTCCAGGAGAGCGGCCGAGAAAAGAGTTTCCGTTACTGGCCGCGCCTCGGCTCTCGTCACAACACGGTGACGTACGGCCGCTTCAAGATCACAACGCGCTTCCGCACAGAGTCCGGCTGCTACGCCACCACCGGGCTGAAGATCAAACACCTGCTGACGGGCCAGGAGAGGACCGTCTGGCACCTGCAGTACACGGACTGGCCCGACCACGGCTGCCCAGAGGACTTCAAAGGCTTCCTCAGTGAGTGGGACCCATATCTGTTTATCCTTTATGTTCAGATATCTACCAGGAAGACTGAACAAGTGTATTCATTGGTGGCATCATTAGTTTGACTTAATAATAGTAGACTAGTTTTGATGGAAATTGAGTTAAACTCTCATAGTCTTAAAAAATAAAATGTTAAGTTCTCTCCTGGCATTTATTAAATCCTTAAAAACTGATCTCAGATTACATATTTGGCATGTAACATGTAACACATTACTCTACTCATCTGCCTCATTTAGATGAATAGGCACTGTTCCCTTTTCCTTGAAAGCTTGGGAATTTGAAAGAAAAAAAATCCATGCCTTAAATATTGTCTTTATTAGATTAATATAGACATGGATAATTGAAGGTGCCTGAATTTTGTATATATTTTGTTGTATTTTATTTGACTAAGCCTAAGTATATGTTCAGTGTTGTAACAGTATTAACGTTGATCCTTGTCCCAAACAACCCTGTCTTTAAATGTATTGTAATAGAGCCCGGAGATTCTTTGAAAAGTATTTTAATTTAATTGTTTAGATTAGTATTGGAACTCTCTAAGAAAGTTACTAAGTAGATTTGTATTGGATATATTCATTGATTGTGTACCTACTTAAAGTTGCTGTCCTCATGTTTCTGCAGCGTACCTGGAGGAGATCCAGTCTGTGAGGAGACACACCAACAGCATCAGTGACCCAAAGAACACCAACCTGCCGGTGCTGGTGCACTGCAGCGCGGGGGTGGGCCGCACCGGGGTGGTCATCCTGTCTGAGGTCATGATCGCCTGTCTGGAGCACAACGAGGTAACGTCCCCGCTGAAAAGACGACCTCATCTTAGGGTGACCAGGTGTCCCGCTTTGTGCGGGACTGCACAGCATTTTGATCATTTGACCCACACATTTAGCCGATGTCCCGCATTTGATTGACAGTCACCCGTCTAAAACAAGGCTTTTATACAAAGGTGTGAAGAAAACGAGAGGGCGATCACCATTAGCTGTGTCAGATGTCAATCAATCAACAGAGAAATGTATTAACTTATGGGTGTAGCCGGTGGAGGGAGATTCCCAGAGAGTTATTGTCAGATTTGCCAGAATTTCTGTTAAATTGCGCATGGAGGTGAATATGTTTTGAGCGACGCTTCACCGAAACTCACAAGAAACGCCTGGCTCATAAAGAAAATATCGATCTATGGATATATTCCTCCTGAAACCAAAAGAGATGAGGTAACAGCAGCTGATTTAATTAACGTTTAGCACACAGGTCAGCAGACTGGGTGTTTCTCAATCGCGAGTAAAGCTGCTTCAGAGCCACTATTTCAAGCATACTACGTCATCGAGTGAAGGCAAAGTACTGTTCCAATGTCCAGCATACTTGGAAATCTACCGAGCCCGGCGTACTCCGTTTGGAGAAATATCGAGGCTGCACATGAGTAGACTCCGCGGTCTTAAAATCCCCACAATGCTTTGCGCACGGACCAATTTCCAAAATCTGTGGCGGAAGATGTAAGGCGGGGCCTCTCATATGACGCACACCTGCACACTTGCTAGCCTGTTCCACTCTTTGTTTTCCAAATGCCAGGAAGTATTCTTGACTCGCTTCTGAAGCAAGATGCTCGGCAGACATGTGCTACCAAGCAAGCGTACTCGCGATTGAGAAACACCCTGTGGCAGTAAGCTAGCTCCGGTCATTTTTTTCTGGTCATAATAATTTGTTATGTTAATTCCATTCAAAACAAATATAATGAATTCCTTCACTTGCATAGTTTGTGCAAACATTAAACCAAAGTAAAGCGTTGTTATTCATATTTATAAGATAATAGTTTAATAGAAATGTTTATTCTTAAGGGTTAGATAGACGTTATATATACATCTAATCTAGCTCTTAGCAAAGCAGTAACATGTCCCGCATTGTCCCACCTGTTGCTTGTTCTCACCTGGTCACCCTACCTCATCTGGAGTCAATATTCTTTCAACGTCTCGTGTTCCTAGATGAAACTGTCGTACTAACTGCTCGTCTTGTTTCAGGCGCTGGATGTCCCAAAGTTCCTGTTGAAGCTTCGTCATCAGAGGATGATGATGGTCCAGACCTTCTCTCAGTACACCTTCATCTACAAAGTCATCATCCAGTACCTCCGCAACTCCAGGCTCATATGAGCGTGTGTTCAACCCTCAGCACACACCACCATCATCACAGGTTATTGAAGGGTGGAGTCTGCCCCAGGTCTATGCCAAACTGCACTGTGATGATGATGCTGTATGAAACTGCTCACTGTAGCGCTCCGATTGGTCAAGTATTAAAGTCAGGCGTCTGAAGGAAGGATGTGTGGATACACAAACAGGAAGCGATGCCACATGAAGGAGCATAAAGACTTACGACCTGCCTCTAAACAGTATTATATATATTATTTTTTACATACAATATTGCTTAATAAAGCCCAGCACTTTTACAGTACTTAGCTGTACACGATGAACCAATGTTAAGCTGCATTATGAAACTCTTTAGGATAGATGGGTTTAAATGAAGAACATTGGTTCTGATAATGAAGGACGTTTCTGTAGTAATGAAGTGGATAAAGAGCTAAATCATGAGTCATGTGACTCATATAAAGGTTTATTACAGAGCCCAGATCAGGTGGATTTGAACTTCATCAGTGGCCTGTGGTGGTGCAAAGGTTTTGTACCTGCATTTAATTTAATAGGAAACAGAAGGATACCGTACGGTCGGATTCGGTTGCGTAGCAAAAATAAAACCACCAAACACAACAGGAACAATCTCCTATCCTCAAAGATGGGGGATTGATGGGTTTGAGAAGCAGGTGTGAGGCAAAAGTCCAATTGGATAAATCATTTTGTACTGTTCATTATTTTTTTACAATGAGAAATCCGAGTGCTGTATTTTAGCCAGATCAAGATACTTTAAGATGTTATTACAAGACAAAGTGCCTACATATCTGCGTTTAAAAAGGACTATTATTGCATCATAAGAAGGAAATGTATTAGTTTTCTTACTCAGTGTAATTTAATGCGTGTTTGATTGCAGTGATGTTTTTTTTACCGCCAATCAATACAATTTAGAGACAGAAATGGCAAACTATGATCCTAATAATTATTTAATTTGGTTCATACCCTTCAGTAGTGACAGTTTGCCATTATTAAATACATAGAAATGGAGCAGTGGGGCCATTTGACAGTATTGAGAAACAACAGTGCTCAGTGACACTTTGACATCCGGACTATCTTTATTTTTATTATTATTCCTGCTGTTACAAATAGCATCCTGACTTTTAGTGAACACTTTCCTTTCCTGCTCGAGCTACAGAGCGTATTTAAAGCCAATTATGAATTCACCTGTCCAGGAACAATGCGTACAGGCGAAGTTTACATAAAGTCAAACTACTTTTTAGCAATTAGAAATATGTTTGCCTTTATCAATGCAAGACACCAATTTAATTTATAATGTGGCCAAAGTGATTTTTAACCCCTTATTTGTCTTACCTTGTTGTTGGTGTCAGACGCGTGGGCAGTGATCTAACTTAACTGGAGGAAACTCATCTGAACTGAAGTTGAGATGAGTTCAACTGGATCTTTTTAAACGCCCGTATGAATTTGCTTCAGGTTTTTGGTTTTAAGATACTGAATGAGTCTTAGTGTGGAGACTGAAGAGTGATTTTGGATGCCAAGGTGTAACTGTTGTCCATGTACAGGTCTGTTGTTCATAATGTACACAATGTAAAATTCTGCTTTTATGAATATTGGTTATTGTACAAACTGTATAAACTATCTATTGAACAAGAAATGGTATGCCATTGGAAAAAAAGAAGTGTAGAAAATCTTTTCAGCCAAGAATAAATATTTGGAAATACATTGTTTCTCTATTTAATTCATCACACACATGCCCCCTTGTGGTAGGAATTATTCTGCCTCTGTTTCTATATCTGTTGCATCAAAAATAAGAGTTTACTTTAGAAAGAGGTCTTTATTAAATAAATTCAGAGGTGGAAAAGATCACAGCTGGTACAGAATCTTCAAGGAAATGAGGCGAGAGCTGATCAGTCCAATCTTCTGATCCTCAGTTTTCTAACAGGTAGCAGTGATTTCAGACAGATGTGTTCTCTATCCTTAAATCCCTTTATCACTTCAATAACACATGATTAAAAGGGTAGCGTGTTATTTTATGCCAAGAAAAAAACATGTGTAGTGTCTTTGTTCATCTCATCAGTGGTTCCTCCCTCTGATATCTGTCGAATTGTAAGCTATGTCCCAAATTCCAAACTAAATGTATACAATAAACAGATTTCCATAGTATCCTTTTTTGCAGATATGATAAAAGAAAATACACCTACTGAACTGGATATAGTTTTCCCTAGATTATAATAATAAATTAGGTTAACTGGGGCTGTTTGACTAACATCTGCTATTAGTTTTAAAGTTATGAACAGTTCACCCTTTTCTTAAGTTCATTGCATTTTGGGAGGACAGGGTCCATCAACACTCAAAAATAAAAATGTTTTCCAGTACATATACTTTAAATATGTTAAATGTAGTTACGTGTACAGTCTAAACACAATACACACTGAAGCATCCTTAGTCAGTATGAAATATGGATTTGGGACACAGTTACAGAATTGTGGCACAATGCCGCTGTTAAATCATTTGCTCCTGTGCAAAAGAAATTCTAAAATGATTGCTGTTATTTTTACTCAAACACTGATGAGAAAATTAAAAAGGCAAAATTAAGCACAAATGAAAAAGTAGAAATACTGTTACTTTTTCTTCCTCGATGGAGTTCAGTTCATGTCCAATATGATTTTTTGATCACTTATATAAAAAAAAACACAAGATAGTGTCGGTCGAAACTAATACTGGTACCGTCCTCTCTTTCCTCCTTGTCCACCATGTCCTCCTTGGTTCCTTCCACCTCCTCCTCCACCTCCTCCACCTCCTCTCCAACTGCCTCCTCCTCTTCCACCACCACGGCCTCCCCAGCCACCACCGCGTCCGCCATCTTCTCTTTTTTTCCAGGATGGCATCTCAGGAGCCGGGGCTGATATCTCTGAGGGACGTCCTCCTCTGTCCGGGACCCTCCCCATTAGAATCTGCGGACAAGTGGACATAGAAATGGTTGGGAAACATCGAATGAATGGCATTTTGTTGAAAGAAAGGAACCGTTCTTCTGTACCTTGTTGACAGCGCAGCTGGTCTTCTGCGTGCTGGAGCCGCTGCTGGTCTTCACCACGTTGCAGATGTCCTCTCTGGCCGCCAGCAGCTGGGCCATGTCCACGATGGACTGCGGCTTCAGAGAGTGTCTCCTGGGCTGGTAGGCCCTCGCCATGCTGTCCACCCTTACCTAACAACCACAGGCACACACATGGGGTTAAATCAGCTGCTAAACACACATTACTTTGCCATTAGGCATATATTATGGGTCTCAGATCTATACAAAACATGTCTATGATGTTTTTTGCTCAAAATACCAAACAGATCATGCATTTTAGACATCCCTCATATCCCATATAAAAAAGAGGAGGGGGAGCTTGTGCCTGCTCAGAATTCTACGAGATACAGCTAAATGCTGCTGTGATTAAATGGTGGGTTACTTTTCCTGCTTACACAGGCTCTCTCCAGTACAGGTTAGCTCTGAGTGTTAGCGATGCTTGCTAATGTAAACAAAGACCATATTACTTCCAAAAGACATCGCACATTATTTCTGATAGGGCCGTGGGTGTAAAGCCAGCCCACATTTCTGATATTACGTCATATCGGATGCAAATCTGGATCAGGTCCGTTGTACCCCCGTTTTTAGAGATTTGGGTACGGAGGAAAAGAGAGAGGGTTTTATTTTCTGACATTTTGCGAGTTCCCTGACACACCGGGGACAAATATTTATGTATAAAAGACATCAAAAAGTGCATTTTGCATGATAGGTCCCCTATAAAGAATCACCATCTTCCCCATATAGTCATCAGTTTAGATTCCCATGTGATGGAGAAAGAGGACAAAGAACATTATGATGTGTAGGTTTTATATAAACATGCCTTGGCTCTGTCCGACCACCCAAAGGACTGAACTGTGACGTCCAGCCGTTTGATCAGCATCCTGCGCCGACACTCGTACTCTGAAGACAGAGCTGCGTTAATGTTGTACAACTTCTCCTGCAGAGATAAAAAAACAACAACATTATAAACCCACCTTTACATTGAACAATAAAACCCACCTAGCTACTAATATACAGATAAATAATCGTTTTTAACATGGTCGATTTCATTATTATATCTACTTACCCATTGTTCACTGTGTAGAGATTTCTTTAGTACTGGGTTTTCAATGGAGCCATCTGGAAGTTCTTTAAGTACTTTTTCAACCTATAATGACACACAGGGTCTGTCATACACACAAGTCTATTGTTCATTTAATTTACAATAGTGTTTAGGTAAAGACAAGATCAAGTTGAAGGGTAGATAGTATTGCAAACAGGACCTATGAGAAAATGGAAAGCAAAAAGTACTTATGGATCAATTTAAAGCCTTAAACATTGCAAATAAACTTTTTTAAATCAATATGAAATGTGTTAGGAAGTCAATGCAAGTCTGCGAGAAGTGGTTTGAATATACAACAATGTTCAAACCACTTTGTTAACATCATGCACTCGGGACACCATTTTTGCTAGCTTTGAGGACTTAAGACTAACAGAGAAATGCTGGTGGCTTTGACATAAATCTACTTAAATGATATTAGATAGTCCCACCTTGTCTTGGATTTGAGACAGAACCACTGCTGCGTCCTGTCCTCTGGGCCCCGGCAGGTTCAGTGTCTCACAGATGACCAGGAGCTCCTCACAAACAGGACCCTCTTCTTGTTTACGAGAGTCTGCTTTGCTCCTCACAATCTGAGCCGCCTGGAGCTCAGAGCTCAGAAACACTTCATAAGACACACAAAGCATGTCAGTTACTCACTGAACATGCAGACAACTTGTAGAACAATTAATGGAATACGCAGTAGGATGTGATTACATACAGAGACATTTGAGATGATCCTTTGTATTCTGCACACTGCCTTTGAGAATCCCTGAAACTAGATCTCCATAAGGACAGTGCAGCTCTTTGAGCAGACCACTCATCTCCAGCTGAAGGCTGTCCAAGTCTTCTAGAGGGAGGCAGACAGGAAACAGGTTGAGAGGAAAACAAGACTTCTGAGTATCACAATCAGGTGTGAATGGAGGTGAGCTAACCTGGACCGGAAATAATGCTCTCCTCCAGATTACACAGCGGCTTCAGGCTGGAGGCCAGCCACCGGCACAGCTCCACAAACTCCGGAGAGGACAGGCCTCCCTCTGCGGCTCCGAGCAGCGCCTTCTCCTCCAGCAGAGGACCGGCGTAGCTACGGAGAGAGAGGAGAGTCAAATCACCACATATTAACTAGATCGTTTAACCCTCCTGTCCTGTTCGTTTCTCCCTCCTCACTTTTGTGTTCTCGTCTGTTTTAACTGCTCTTACATTTACACAAAAAACGTTAATCAGCACAGCATTTTAAGCTGTAAAAAACAATGTCTCAGACCACTGGTTTAAACAAATAACTGAAGTGAATATACAAAGAATAGACAGTCAAAATGTATTCCAAAATGAACATTTTGCTGATTTGTGGGTGTTTACTATCTGATGGATGAACATAAACTAGGGTTACCCCATTCATTTCCTTTTGCGGTCATTTTTGACAGTGTGGCAATCAGCAACTTTATAATTGTATATGTTCAAATGCCTAATGTGGAGGATATTATAAGGCCTTGACGCAAAGAAAAAATATAACACAATATTTATAATTGATGAAAGTAGTTACAATTTGACCAGAACACGACAGGAGGGTTAAACCAGGTTCTCTACAACTTGCTAAATAGCTTTCACAGCCACTCTGCCTTTTGTAAACACGCAGACTGATAACATAACGGTGTTGATGCTAAATGCTAACAGCACATTAGCTTACCCAAGCTCCTCCAAAGAGTCCAAAATGTCGCACTCCATCGTTAAATCCATAGGTGTTTTTGATATGTTTTATACTACTGAAAACATGACGACGTTACGGATATAACACTGTCAACATGTCCAGGTTTTTGCACCCATTCATTTCTGCGTCGCTCTCCTCTCATGCCTTTTTGCTGTTCCGGTTACTGACGTGATCCGGAGGGAAACCAGCGACTTTCAATCTATGGTTCCGCTGCAATGGTTCCGCCCTATACTAGCTGTGTACTCTCCACAATAAAGGATCTGTTTATCAAAACGTGTAATAGAAGTGGCGTGGGAGTAGGAAATAAACAATTAAATGTAATAGAAAATGATTCGAGTCGTCAAATATTTTGGTAACACGCTTTAAGAATGATATACTGGTTTATATGTTGACACTTGTATTCTTAAAAATACAACAGCCTTAAATGTATTTTGTTGTTAAATTACAAAAAAACTGAAATCCTGAAAAGTTTAGATTTTGGAGATATTTACTTTATTTGTAATACTTTCTAATGTAAAACATTGATCTGCAAAGTAACAGAAACAGTAAATGTAGTGCAGTAAAATAACACAAAATGTAATGTTTGATGTAGTATAGCAAAAGCATAAAGTCAGAGAAAATGGAAAGTTCATAAAATGTTATTACATAATTAGGTACTTAAACGTAAACATACGCCTAATTAGGTACTTGAGTAAACATACGTACTGCCTAATACCATTGTAGATCTTTGTTAAAAATGTCATTCAAGGTTAATCAAAAACTTCATTTACCATATGCGTCATAAAGTACTTAAAATGTTGTTATAAAACGCAACTAGACCATGAGACGCATTTCTACTCCAATTTAAATGACATTATCTATAAACATAAACACAGGCATATACCACCTTGTCACTTCCTTGAAGCCTTTGGAGTAGCAAACAGTTATTTATTTCAATGTATATTTATTCAATTAATTATTATAAATTAGAGAAAAATGGAAATCAACTTTTTATTAAGAACAAAAGTGGCGTCTCGTTTTGTCTGAGTAACAATCCAACAGTCTAACATATGGTTTGAAATGACTTAAAGGTCCCATGACATGCTTTTCTGGTTATTACCCCCCCCCCCCCCCCCCACACACACACACACACACACAGCTCAGGCTGAGTTCCTCGTGTCTCGCAGACCCCACGCAGCAACCAGGAAACAACACCAGTAATCCAGCTCACACTGTCCGCTCCTCGAGCCTCAAAGGGCGGAGCAGCGAGCCCCGCAACGTCCCGCCAACACGGCACCCAGACCCCACGCAGCATTCTCATCTGTTTGTCATCACTGGTGTTATTTTCTGGTTGCTAACAAACGCCATTGTAACACATAATCACTGATGTTCCGCTGTAACGGTGGTGGACTCATCAGAAGAGAGTGGGCAAGCTGACCAAACAGTGGGCTCATAGGGAGGGGGAGGCAGGAGCTCCAACAAGCCGTTTAGGACAGAGAGTGAGTACATATACTATACAGAGATGCTGAATGAGAAACCAATGTGATTTTGGAACATTGAACAATATAAATCTATTCTAGTAGACCTCAACAATGGAATTATGATCAGTAGAAATGGCCATGTCATGTGACCTTTAAGAAACAGAGAACATGGAACCAAATAATGTATGCCATTGTTGGTCAACTGACCTAAACACACACATTGTTTGTCCGGAAATGTTGAAGCTACATCTTCTATGAATAGAGAAAAGGGTTTCAGCTCTACTTCTGGTTAATTTAGCGGTCTGGATTTTACAGACATTAAGACCGATAAGCATTTCAAATGCAGAAGTCGACCGGAGATTTCAGTCTTGATAGTTGATCTTCATGTTTTTTCAAAAGAGGAAGAAGGTTATTTAAATATTCTGACCACAGTACACTTGACCTTGGTGTATCTTCACAAAACAACTCATTAGTATTCATATAACATGGATGACTGATACAAAAAAGGCAATGAAGCTTACACAGCAAAAGATTAAAACTCACCATTTTATTATGATAATGTTATTTGATATGTCAAATTACAAGTGTATGATGTAACATAAAAACAGTTACAAACATATGTATGCATATTTACATTATATATTTATGAAAAGTAACGAGCTACATCTGTATAAAGAAAATACAACTATGACATGAGTTATTGGGACTATAAATCATATACTTGGTATTCTCGAACCATGAGAAGAAATACCTAGACGTGTAGAAACCAATAGAACCAGAACGAGAGATGTTAAATTATAAAATGGAAACTAGGATGGACGTGAGGCACTTTTTTGAGGTTGTCAGGATGTGAAAGCCGATGGCATTAAGAAACAAATAGATGCACAGGAAAGAAATATGCACAAAGAGAGTGAAAGAAAGAAAAAAAGAAAACAGGCAGTGTTTACAGAATAGTTAAGAGTAGTACCATTTATACTGCAAGTTTCAAAACACAAATGTCTTCCACTATTTAGAACTAATCACATAAATGTTACATCAAGCGCTGTAAGATGAAAAAAAGCTTACATATAGTATCATCAGTGCACCAAAGCATCGGAGAATTGAAACATAACCACTCAACTGCTGTGAAAAGTAACCTTTTTAAAACAATACACTGAAGAGAAACAGGTTTATATAGCTTTTTCTTTTTTTAAATCTACACAATGTCAAGAATGTACACTTGTATGCATTCCCAAAGATATGCACAATTTCCAAGATTGAAAGAGGATAAAAGACTAGCAGCAAAGTGGTTAAAACTGAAGTCTTATATAATGCAGGTCAAAAAATATATATATTAAAGCAGACAGACACATGTTGCATATATAATACAGTACATGACAGGAAGTTGCACTGTGCTGGTTAATGCAGAATGAGAAGTGTTATTTCAGCATTCTCTACACTTTGTATAAATGCACGTCCTACATTTTTGCTTCTCAGCCAGCAAGTTTTAATCAGGTTCATCAAACCTTGGTTCAGCTTGCAATAATGCAGGGCAATCCAATTACAATGGGAGAATATGACAACCATCCAAACATCTGGTTACACACCAACCCCGCACGCACACAGCCAGCACACTGGAAACACACACACGTAGTACACACACACACACACACACACACACTCGTGGGCACACAAGAACGCACATTTATAGTAACACTCGCGCACCCACACACATGCACAAGTGTCCACTCACACAGAGCAATCAAACATTTAAAAACTCACTGTCATGGTTATATGCTGTTGGAGAATTAGGGTTTAACAGTCGTTCATAGCTGATTTTCTCTGTCAACACAATAAAATTAGTGATTGTATCTAGCAGCTTTATATGTATGTATGTATATATATATTTATATATCAAACTTTTTTGAAACAAGTGGACTGCCACTACTGTACCGTGTTAGCACTATCCTTCCTTCTACCGTACAAAACTATAGAGAAACTCTATTAGAAGCTCAATAGTCATTTCCATCACAAACGCCCTCTACTTTTCAATGTGAAATAATACTAAAAGGTGACCTATGTACATAATGCTGTCAATTGAAGCTACGGTATATGCTGACAGCAACGATAAATACAGCTCTATCTTTCAAATGTAAAAGACAAAAAAGCTGGGATTATTATCAGAACTTAAATATAGTGTTAAGTATTTACAGGTTGTTTGGAGTTTGGTACCAGGGGTCGGTCGTCTACATCTATAATCGCGTTAAAGTGTCCTATCCCGTCACTGACTCAGTCTGCAGAGAGGTCAATGTGTTTCCCACGTTAGAAAGTTTGCATAGAAAGTAAAGGGAGCATCGGTCGGGGGGGGAATTAGGAAAATATATGTTTCTCCTGTAATCTGAAGTGCCATTACTACTATTATTTTAGCCAGGAGGGAGAGGAGATGCATATCTGTTAGCAACATGGATGTCATGCCAAATCTGCTGTTAAATACTGCGGTGAATCACAATTAGCATTAATTTCAAACATGCCAATGCCTTAGTTAGGAATCATTTCTTCAGTTATTGCAGCTGGACATCCAGGCTGAACTGTTATAACTGTCGGGAGTTTGTCGTTGTTCAGGACTAGTTCGAGTCAACATTTAGTTAGTTGAGGAAGCCAGTTCAATTGAAATATGTTCTTCTCTTTTGGGCGGGAAATAGGATTCAAACACAACTAGACTTCCTGTTTCCCAAAGGATCTTATAGATGTAGTTTGACATTTTGGGAATTGTGCTTTCTTGTTGAGACAGTGAGAAGATTGATACCACTTTCATATGTAGTCTTTAAATACGAAGCTGCTTCGCTTAGCATAGGGAAGCTTAACAGGTAACTGTGACAAAATCCTCCTACTGCCACAGCTAAAGCTCACTAAATAATAGATTATATATATTTTTACTTGAAAAATGGCCAATTGAGGTTTTACAGAGAATTGGGCGAGTTATTCTTTGTCCAGGCACAGTACCCTCATGGTGACAACAGGACTTAGTCTAGTGCCTGTTCAAGAAATAGTCCCACACATGACCCGCAGTAAAACCCCAAATTGTCATCTTTACACTTTCGTGTTTATACTAATTAAACAAATGATATAACCTGTTAATCGGTTAACTTTAAGGTGCTATAAAGCAGAGTTGAATACATTGTAATGGAGCCAGGCTATCCGTTTCCCCGTTGTACGCTAGGCTAAGCTAGCTCCAATTTAACAAAAGTTACAATAGTGAGTAGTTTTGATCTTCTCTGTAAAGAAAGCAGATAAGTGAAATTCCCAGGATGTTAAACTTTTCCTTTAACAGTTCGATCGTCTCTTTGTTAAATAGACGCTTCAGGAAACAGGACGCGGTTACAAGTCAAAGCCTTAATCACAAAGTCAGAGGTGACATGACACCAGATCAACAGTGCATATGTAGACCTATGCACACACATACACACACACACACACACACACACATACACACATACATAACACTTGTATGTTTAATAGCTAAGATACTCAGCATTCCTGAAGCAATGCATTCATTCATCCTGTTAAATGAAGACATACGGAAGGAGTGAACTTTTGAGGAACAAAGAAGTTCTACATTTACACAGGATGTGCGGGGAAATGAAAAGAAAACAAAAAAAACGGATTCATGGGACAAACATGGACATTTGGAGAGGGTGCTGCAACCAAAGCTTGGAGAGCAGTGCTTTCAGGAGGAGTATTCCCAATGGCAAATTAAATGTTATATTAGTCAAATATATGTACAGACTAATTATAAAATCTAAAAGGATTCCCAATAAAAGAATAACCTAATTTAAGTGCCTCATCATTAAACCAAGGAGCACTGTAACCCATTTACTCACCGAAACAAAACTTGCTGGTTGAGCAACATTTCAGCCTTTGTTTAAAAAATAATTATAAAATGAGCAGGAAAATAACAAGTAAGAAATAAAAACACCAATTTCACAACAGCAGTAAATAACTGGACTAAAACTGGAATTCATTGGAGTAAATCAAATCGTGGCTTCAAAATTTAAACGGTTCAAGATGTTTTAATGCTATTTAAATGATGTGGAAAAAACTATTTCGGGGAACTCTGCATGGTAAAGTCATTACCATTTTATCCCTTCTAATCATGGAATCGATCCCTTTTTTTTTGGAATGCAATCAAATAGTCTAAATCACCTCGGGAAGGCAAGGTAATCGTTTTTAACATCTTATAATTCATGTCAAAAGCAATACCAAGCTGCACCTTCAGACACAAGCTGTCACCTTCTGAATTTGTTCAACATTCGATGGAAAGGAAAACAAGGAATTGGCCATACATCCACCACAGAAACATCTCTTAAATGTTAAAATTACACTACAAAAGGTGGTTAATGTACCACAAGAACTTGAGGGGGTTACCTTTACTCAGGGGGGGGAAAACCATTTCTAGTGCACTTTTCTCTGTCTAGTAATTACATTGTCAGCAAATGCTTAAGCCATGAAGGAAAGGCCACTGTTACCCAACTGTAAATTCACAAAAAAGCAAGAACATATCCCTTTTAGCATACTCAAACAGCAAGTATTTTTTCTGAAACGCAGAATAGTTTTGTTTTCTTTTTTCGTCGTTAAGTTGTTTGCTCTCTGTACAAAAGACAATTTTTCCTTCATAAAGTTACACATTTCTTGCAGTAGAGTCCTGACATTTGTGGCCTGGCTTTGTCAATGCATGAGTGTGAATGTGAGAGATAGGTTTGTGTGTGTGTATGTGTATGTGTATGTGTATGTGTGTGTGTGTGTGTGTGTGTGTGTGTGTATGTGTGTGTGTTTAGTAACATCTCCAAGTCTATTAATCTTGACGTTGCCTGCTGCTCCTCTCCTCAGTTTAAGCTCCTGAACATAGCTTGATGCTCAGAGCTCCCACAAAGCATTTGGTTTGTCCTCCACCGCTGCTTGTCGGCGACAAACACAAACTGAAATCTCCAAAAGCCCTCAGAGCTGGGGATCAACAACATCACCCCGTCTGAGAGGGGAATGAAAAAAGGATGCCGGCTTTTTTATTTTTCCGCATTTATCCACTTCCTGTGTTAGCTAGCTTTGAGGATGTCCCAGAGTACGTTGTGGGGTCACCCCGCCGCCTTGTGCTTTCCCCCGCAGCAGCGGCAGGCCTCCCCACAGTGGTGGCAGGCGCGCAGGGGCAGGTAGCAGCACATGCAGGGCGCGATGAAGGACAGCGCCACCAGGGCCAGCCAGCGCAGGCAGAACTGCTCGTCGGACGTGTCACATGAGCAGGGGTCTGAGAAGTCCCCCTCGGAGTCGGACATGCAGTGGTACAGCATGCTCTCGGCGCAGAGCATGCAGCTGACTTTGTAGATGCACTGCTTGATGGGGTCGGGGGCGTCCTGGCACTGCCCCCGCCAGTTGTCTTCGTGGTTGAACATTTCCCGACAGTAGATGCAGCGCGAACGCTCTCCGTCCTCTCGCCGCCGCCGGCCCTTTTTAGACTTGAGCAGGGGCGAGGGCTGGGTCTTGATGGCTGTGTCCTTGCCAAGACCCAGACCCATACCTGTTCCAATGCCCATGCCGGGGCCAGAGTGGGGGTCCCCACACGGCCCATCGGGGAAGAGATACTCGCACTTCTTACTGTCTAGTTTGTGGAAGGCGGTGGGGAAGTCCATGTCCTCGCGGTCGGACTCCTGTTTCCACATAACAGGGTGGCGGTAGTCCTCATAGCCGCGGATGAGCACGTCTTTGCGTGGGTTGATGCGAACAATCTCCTCTTCGTCCATGTGAAAACTGACATGACGAGTTGACTTGAAGGAGACCTTGATGAGAGGAGAAATGGGGAATTAGTGGGATTATAAAACAAGAATGGGAAGTGAATATGAGAAATACTTCATTCATAGAATCTCACAAGCTTTAATCTTCCTCTTAAAGATCCAAAATGTTGCAATTTTATGTAATTTTTACAAACTTTTGCAGATGGGTGAGTTTGTGCTGGGCAGAAGCAGACCTGGGGAGGCAGGTAGCGGCGGTTGCTGGAGTTGAACTCGTCGAAGGGTTGGGCGCGGACGTAGCAGCCCCTGAAGGGCTCGGTGGAGACGACGTTGTTCAGGGGAGAGAAAGGCTCTTTCATTGGGGTGCATAAGGAGGGAGGCTCATCACACACCTGCAGAAATATCAGAAACAAATCATATTAGTAAATGGAGAAAATTCTATTGAAAAATACCTGAAACACACATCTCATATTTCCGCTTATAAGGATGCATGAAGAAAAGAGACAGAAATTGAATACTTAGCTCATAATAAATGTTAGTTCAAACCCCTTAAAATGCATTATTCTCACATTCTGTGTTACCATTAAATTGCCTCGAGCACAAATGGATTTCTGGACCACAGCTGTTTTGACTCGGGGTGTGTAGGCTGTGTGTTCCACTTGTAACCACCAGAGGGCCTCCTGCGCCCACGCTTGGCCAAATGAGAGTGCTGTGATGACTCAAGGCCCTTCTGTTAAGAACTCCGAGTTCCCATCAGCCTTGCATGTGTTCCCACAAACATTTTAACTGATGCAAAATCTACAAACACTGGCCTAAAAAAAGAGGCGCTTGAATTATGCGATGAAAAAGAGAAATGTTGGAAGCCATGTGAGGCTGAGCGAATATTTCTTACACCTCATGCCAAACTATCTCGCAATTACACGAGAGAAGCTCAATGTTGACATCAATCGGAAAGAGAAGTCTATAAATAACATCTCGTGAATGCCACAGTTGACATTAGAAATATGAACACAGCAAAAGAATAAACATATTTCTAGTAATACATAGTTATAGATCCAATAGAAGTGGTCCAACACTTCCGTACTCATGGCAACAACATCAAAAGTGATGGCTATTCATGATTCATGCGTGCAGGGGTGATGAGAGATGGGGGAGGATTGTCAGTTATTACATGAAGAGCTGTGTGATGATATTTCATGTCCAGCATTATTTCAGGACAACCATCTGTATAATTCCCAGTTACATATGCAGATCACTTGGAGATAAACTGAATTAGGCATGATTAGAATCACAAGTTGTTCCTTATTTCTCAGTGCAGTCTTTCATAGATAGAAACTGTCCAACTAAACTGCGAAATAAAGGGTATTCAAGGGTCTATATCTCTTCGCACATGGACACACGTCGAGGCATATCTCCACACGTACCAGTTCGATCCAACCATATTCAAGCCTTGTACACACTGGCTAGCTGTCCCTCTTTTCCCACACACACCCCGACCTCATCAAGGCAGGGTTAGTCCTCCTCTCTTCTCCTTCTCCCACCCTCTCCCTCTCTCTGCTCTGCGTGTGGAGGAGGCTGCTGGCTCTGGTTAGTCAGTGCCGTGTGTAAAGTAGCCCACGCCAGTGCTTTAACGCACAGCGGAAATCTGGTTTGCTCCCAGCTGCTGCTACAGTAATTACTGTCCTGTGGTTGCTAAGAGATGCTTCCTTTGACTTCTTTTTTTTCCCTCTCTTTCTCTTCTTTTTTCCCCCCTCCCTCTCCTCTGCTTGCACTCCCCCCCCCCCTAGACTGCTAACACATGGTGTGTGTATGTGTGTGACTTTGCTCCCTCTTTGCCTCCAAACATACCAAGTGGTGTAACGCACATCCACAGCGTCTGCAGGGGAATGTGAGGAATAGGAGACAGTGGAGGGAGAGAAGAGAAAGAACAGAACAGGAAAAAATGACTTTGTGTTGTATTTGTGTGTGTGAGAGAGAGAGAGAGGGAGAAAGAGAGAGAGCGAGAGGCCAAAGAGTCTGCCGAGGGAATGTCATAAACCAGCTCCAGCTGGAGAAATGCAGCACAGAACTTAAAAAGCCAGATGACAGCTGTGTGTGTATGTGGGAGAAAGAAAGAAAGGAGCGAGGGGTGGGGGGGTGAAATGGGAAACAGACTTGGGCTTCCTTTTAAAGCGCTTGCCTAAGCCCCACCATTCAAAGGCATGCGTGGGGGCCAATCTGGAGCTGAGCTGACCCTAGAGATGTGGCTGGGTGAGGGAGGAGAGGAGAGGAGGGGAGAGGAGGGGATGGAGGTGCTGGGAGCCCGGGGCAACCTGGCTGCACACCAACATCAGGGGTCCGTGCACTTCCGCCCTCAAAGGCAGAGGGGCTCGGGACAGGGAGGGCTGGGGTCCATGTACTGGAAACTACAGAACATGCTAGATCTCTGAATCACACTGAGGAAAGAGGATGTGCGTGCTCTGGTGGTTGATCACAAACACTTAATGGTGTACTTCTTTAAATATGTGTTTATCACACTCTAAAAATAGGGATCGGCCATCATCTTGTTACCTTCAAAACAAAGAAGTATAGCACAGCTCGAGGATACACCCCATCAACTTTGTTGCAGAGAGTTTGACAACAAGACTTTGTAGGTTTGATGTGAAGCTTCAGCCAGCAGCTGGTTAGCTTAGCTTAGCATAACAATTGGATCCTAATGTAACAAAACCTGCTTACTAGCATCTTTAAAACTCACATATCAACATGTTACATCTTGTTTATTTAATTATTTTAAAGTGTTGGTTGTGGTTTCTTTGCCCCAACCATAAAACCACTGCATGTCATTTTAATGCTTCAGGTTTTGTACCAATTAAAATAAAGTGATATACCATTGTTAATTAGCTATCTTCTGAAGGGGATGGAAGGGCATCACATATTGTTACAATGGGAAAAGTTCCGGTCTTTATGCTAAGCTAACATTGCAGCCTACTGTAAAGCTTCACATTTTACAGATGCATGTGAGAGTGGTATTAAACGTATCTAACTTAAATGAAGTACAAAGAAAAGTGTATCAACACATTTCCAAAGATGTCAAACTATTCCTTTAAACATATCTATTTCCTGGCTACAGGTGCTTCACAGAGCTCTATTTGAAACGTTTCTGGTCTGTGAGTGAGGCTGTAAAAGTCAACTGGCCAACAAAACCTCTGTGTACTAAACTGATAAGAGAAAACTTCCTGCCAGCGCTAAATTAGATGCGGATGTTTTCCTGTGGCATTCGAAAAAAAAATACAATTTTTTCTTTGTACTAGCGGAAGGACTGTGGTGGTACGGAATAATTCCTGGCAGTGGGTCATCACAGCTGAGTAGGGTGTTGTGCAACTAGGTTTTTTTTAATGGGTAAAATATGTTGGATGTGCATATAGTGCGTGTGTTGTGTGTTTCTGAGTGAGAGGAAGAATGTGGTAAGCTTGTGAAGGGCATACAAGTGGGTGCTGAGCCTCGGTGGGCAGGATGTGGGCGGAGGACGACCATCTTCAACGCATGTACATTAACACACTCACACACACAATTCACACACATGCACAAACAAGCCTGCTCTCACACACACACAAGTCAAACGCTTCTAGCAATGCAAGGCTATGATGGATTCCAGAAAATTCTAAGGACAAGCGATTCTTTTTTTTTTAGAGATGTCTGAATCTAATCAAAGGAATAAACAAGGCTTGATGGTGACCTCCGATGCTGATGAAACGCTGTCCGTTCTCAACAAGGTCAAGACAGGAATGATCTAAAGGGGGCCGCAAATAACACAAACTAAAGACCAGAACAAAGAATTTTCTACTACTTTTTTCTCTACCATCCACCAAAATCCTCTCCAACCCAGTATGCTGTTGTTTATCAGGTGATCTTTGTGAACAGTGGTATAACTTTATGATGGAGCGTAGAGCAGCACACCTTGTTGAGTGCTGGTATGTGCTAGCTCTCTGGCTGCAGCCACTGGTTCACTTCTCTTTCTCTGTAGCCCAGGTCTCCGACCGCAACATTCGGATGCCAAATCACCATGGTGACACCCTCGGTGGCTCACTCACTGAACCTTGTGAACACCCCCTTCTATCCCCCCTCCCGCTGAACCCCCCCCCCCCCCCCAGCCCCTGCTGCCTAGCAACAGTGGTGCCATTGGATTTCCTGTATGTTCAGGCGGATTCCTTAAAGAGGAACTTCGCCACAGGAACAGGAACGCAGCTCTCCCTCCTTCTCCTACATCGTACAGGATGTGAGACACTAGGCAGGTCAAAGGTGATGACATCCTCTGACTAATGCTCAAAACTACGTTATGGGGGGTGCAGTGTGATGTCAAAGTTCTGGTTCAAGCTTGTTGAACTTGAGGGGCATTTTACATCAATCAGCAACACATTGAATTGTAATGCAATGCCACATAACTGCAATAAATACTGTTAATAATAAAGTTATCTGTGTGTCGACTCATTCTTTATCAAGTTTTTAAGATAATTAATGACCTTTGTTGAATGAAAATCTCTTAAAAACAGTGTCAGCAGTAATTCATAGTTAGTTTCAAGTATTGCAGGACTATTGTGTGTTTATTGTCACTCAGTTTACGTGTGCATGAAAAGATCTGCCATTCCTTCCACGATGGATGGTGTCTTTTCACCTACTTTACAATCAGAAGCAGAACAGGTGACTGACGTTCCCTAACAGATCCGATATCTAAACCAAATGAACATGGGTGGAGTAGACTTGAACTATATACCTACTAAAGAGAACACCGCTATCTCAACCACACATGTCGACCTGTCAATACATCGCCACATGCCAGGAAATATAAACAACTCTTAACATAATGCTCTCAAAAGTCCTGTCAACAAAAGAAATAGATTCAGTTTGGAGGACAGGGAAATCACAGAGCAGTCTTGCCAAGCTGCTTTAGAACAAACAGCTCCTGAGGCAATAGTTATTATTTCGGCATCAATTCTAACAAGAGTGACAGCTACCAAGTTAGATTGATAGAGACAACTAAGCCTGTCCTAGCACATTCGCTGGCCAACACCCAGCTCCACCTCAAGGTCTGCTTGGCACTGGTTAAACACCTGTAAATCTCCAAGAACAACTGTTAGAAAACAAAGGCAGGTGTCAGCGCCTGGGTGGGACGCATCAGGGCTCAAACATATGGCTTGGCTCAAGTTCGAGCTATGACCTGCCTTCGTTTTTTTAATAGTGAGGGAACGTTGAGTAATAAATCCAACTTTAAAAACCTTCAGTAGGTGCACTTTAACATCCTATGATCCATTTACCATTCCACAACAAAAGGATACTTTATAGAGTTAAATGTCTCCTTTTTTTGTGAATGGGTTTTACAGTGAAAAAAAAAAAAACATGAACATTTTTGCTTAAAAACAACCACAGCTCTTCAAACTCAGCCAGGAACAAATGCATGTGATTTCAAGATAAAATATATTCTTTATAGTCAATCTTTTAGCCTCTCAGCTTTATATCACACTTACCGGCAGTCCATCCTCAGGAATATCCCCTTCCCCAAACGGCCGAAATCCTGAAGGAAAAACACAAAGTGGAAAAAGATGAGTGGCCTGTCATCATTTGATATGCTTAAAAAACAACAACAGAGGAACTGTTACGGTCATATGAGCAACAAAACGCTAACAAAAGGAAAGTACTAACAGCTCAACATTTAAATGAGCATGTACCTTGATTAAAACATCCTCACACAGTCAGCCGCCAATGTTATTAATGACATGTAGCATTAGGAGTTTTGGACAAGTCTGTAAGTACACATAGCACCAATTTTCTAGCATCTCAGATGGCTACATGTTTGATAAATTCAAGGAAAGACTTGTTTTTGGAACTCAACCAGTAGGGGGCAAAAACACAAGGAACAGTATGGTGTAGCAGTCATGTCTACTTGTACCATTTTCCAAGCTTAGCTATGTTTTCTATTAATTATATTGTCAAATCCATTCCACTCTCAATGGACGCAGACTCCTCAACAAAGCATATTTGAGTGAACAGATTTACATTGCTAATTCTTGTCAGGCCAGAAAATGACAAGACTTCTGCTTTCCTCTGACTGTGGCCTTATGGGGAAATGAAAGCTGCTTTGTGTCAGTGGGGCACACAGAAGTTAATGAAATATGCATGTCTAGAATAATGTAACCCCGACCTCGGCTTCAAACCCCCCATGTGCCATTTCCGCATCCAAAACACCTCTTCCACCAATGCTGGAGTCAGAGCTTATGTTTCAGGTATCAGGCCGACCATGTTACAGATTTTCATTACCACAGAGAATGAAACTGTGGAGGGTGTAACCGAAGGAAAGACACTAATGCTGCTGATATTTTTTAAATAATCGGTTGGTTTTTTAAACACTTTTCTACTTTTAAAGCATGGGGACATTTTCAAATTTAGAGCCCCAATAACATAAATAAAAACTTTTAGCCACACACGGCTCCTAACCATTTTCGATATTTGAGTTTCACATTAACTTAACTGCTATACAAATTTAACAGAATATTCTGATAAAAAATATACAATTTCTGCAAAACTACTAGTGCAAAGGATATAAGTTGAGGTCAGTATGATTTAGTGAATGAAGTACTATTTACTGTAATTATCACTTTACAGGTACTGATATTCAGAGTAGTATTGTGGTTTTACCAAGCCCTAGTAAACACACAACAATAAAGCAAACCCTGCATTCGACTATCATGATAAAAGAAAACACTGTTAAATAAACTAAATAGAAGAGAAGATGGTTGAGGCCATGGCCTTGGCAATGTTGCAAAAAAGAGGGATTAAACATTTTCCACTGGGATAAAGGAAAAAGCGTACCTGGGGCTCTAAGAGGTTCTGTTTAGAACTTAGGTTCACTTAATTAGGATCGCTGCGGCCTCATTTGAAGGACCGAGCATTGGCCTGTCTGCTGCATTCAGGCAGGAGAGGAATACAGCGAGACAGAGGACAGAATAATTCACTGGGCTGGTGTCAGACCCATGTCCATCAGTCTGTCTGTCTGTGTGCGTCTCTGATTCACATGAGAAAGGTGTTGGTGTGTCTGTATGCATTTCTGCACTACAGAGAGAAAGAGGCTTCCTGCAGCACGACTCTGGCAGTGCTGGGCCGCGAAGCTGCCTGAGCCATGTGCCCAGCGTTGCCATGGCAACAGAGGACTGCAAGACTGATACACACACGTGCACACACATACACACAGGCAAAACATATTCTCTCTCTGTCTCTCTTACACCACCCCCCCGACACACACACACACATTCATGCAGCAGTCCAGCAGCACCGCGATGCAACAGGAATACAGAAGAACCTGCCTGAGCTGAAGAGAGGCATTACACAACACTGGTAGAATACAGAAGATGCCCCATGAAGAGAAAGGAGAGGCGGAGGGGAGGAGAGTACAGCAGAGGAAGAGAGAGGAGGAGAGAGAGAGAGAGAGAGAGAGAGAGATGAGAGAGAGAGAGAGATAGATAGAGATATAGGAGAGATATATCGAGAGCGATAGTCTAAGCTCTTAGAGGAGCAGAATCAGAAAGAGAGAGAGAGAAGAATATCTCTCTATGATATCTGACAAATCTCAAGAGATCTAGACAACAAATCAGCATCACCTGCCGAAGCTGACATTCACAGGGAAGAGTTGAAGCATTTACAAGCAGACAGACACAGACTCTTGGTGAGGTGAGGGATGTGTTTGATCACGCTGACCAGCTATTAGAGATTTTCGACCCAAAGGAGACATGTTATGTTGTGTAATGGAAGTACTAATTGTGGGATCTTTGATTTTAAACATCATTTATTGACCAGCAAACATTGTTTCCTGTAAACCTACTGATATATCAAATTAAGTAAAACAGTAAACTAGCGCTCACACCAACCAAGCAGCCCTGACCTTCGATATGACACTGTCATCTTCTCATTATTGTAGTGTTTTGGATTGATCATTGCCTTTTGCAAAGCCAGCCACTCAGCTGTTCCCCATGCTTACCTGTTACCTAGACTGTGTGTGGACTTGTGCCCAGGAAGTACAAATCTCAGATAAACGCTTGTGGGCAAGAGGCGACTGATGCCTGGTGCTGATAAGCTTTTACGATGTTTTGCTGTACCTCCTCTACGCTCCCCAGGGTTCCCAGGTCTACAGGGTAAAGGAGATTATAGCTCTCCAGTCAGCCAGCCTCTTATGTAACACAGGGCTGGGTGGCAGATTGCTGAGCTGGCGATTCTCTTGCTAATTGGATGACTTTGCAACCTCTGGCACTGTACTAAAAAATATTGCTTATCAGGACCCAAAGTTGCTAAGTAAACTCAGAGACCAAGTGTTATATCTAGTTTAGCTCAAAAATAAAAAGTAGAAAAAGTAGAAAATTGTGGAAAGTAGAGCAAAACTTTTTTAATCAAACATTAGCTCAAACAGAACACAAGCCTAACCTGGTCAAGTTTCTTCTGCCATTATCTCAGGTTGCCACCCATTCAGTGTCCCAAGTCCTCCCCCCCCTCCCTCTTTCTTACCAACTCTCCCCCCTGTCCCATATCACCCACTGTGTTGCCCTGCCAGTCTCTACAGGAAGTGGGGACTTTATCTGGGCAGCTGGCACTGATAAGATACCGCAGGAGGGGTCATGCTTGGGTGAATGAGCAGGTATCAGTGGGGGAAGTCATCAACGCTAATCAACGCTATGCATCTCTCGTGGAACAGATGCTAGGTCAGCCATTACAAGCCAATGACAAACAGGCTGCAGACACCCGCTTACAGATGCATGCCATGTTCATACACATACACCCGTATCACTTTACACGCATTGGATGGCTGCCAACACACATAGAATAGTGCAGCCTCTGAGAGGGAATTCCAAACAAATCTGGTGTTTGGTTTTTGAAATCCGAAAACACACGCATGGACCATTGACAATCTGCTAACACACAACCGCACACACACACACACCTTGGTTGATGTCCTCAATGGCCCGACGTATGCCCCGGTCAAAAGCACGAGCGTCAGCAGGGCTCTGGAAAGTCAGTCCAAACTTCTTGTTGTTGATCCTCCAGTGGTGGAAGATGGGGTTGACCTTGTTGTATATTACGTCTTTCTGCAGGACACACTCCAGCACCACCTGATAAAACACACGGTGTCAGATTGAAACAAGGCTTATTAGTACTATTTTTGTCAAGCCTGAGTTAGTATGCAGTCTGGCAGTTGCATCATTTCAAAGGTTTAATGATGAAACTCAATGGGGAACACACATGTAAATCCTTCATCATACTCCCCAACCTAAGTTGTTTAAATGTGTCTCATTCAATTACTCCACATCGACATGAGTAAGAGAAGAGAGAGAAAGAGATTGAGGCTTGCATCTGGAACTGCACATAACTCAAGGGTGTCTAAAAATAGAGAAGAAAAATCATTCTAAACCCAATAATTTCACATACTCCTTTGGATAATTTGTAAAACACATTCTAAATGGTGGGGTTCTCATTACAGATGATGATAAAGTTGGAAAGCAGTGGTGGTGGCTGAATAAGGGGAGGGGGGGGGGGAGAATGTTTTGGAGCCAGGCTGCCCAAGTGTGTGGCGTGGAGAGACTGTGTTTCCAAAGCCTATTATTAATCAGGGCTACTGGGCCGCCGCCCGGCCTTCCTCTAGGCAGATTCAATGAAATGAGAGACGGCCATTACAGTCTTTGAGGTTTTTTTTACAGACGTGCACGAGAGGTGGCTTGTAGGGTGTGAATGTGTGAGCGTGCGCATGGTAATTTGCGTGAGAGAATGCGTGAGCACAGGAGCTGGTGTGATGAAAAGCTCAATGACCCGAGCGCTACACTTTGCATCTTCGCAGTGCAAATGCCTGGTCAGAGGATACCGGTCAAAAACCAATACTGGTGTAGTGAAAAGCAGATGGCAACGTTCCTCGTTGTTTCGGACAACAGTCAACGTGCACACTTTAAGAGGTTGATACGTCGCAGCTGTACGAGAGGTTGCTGATGATATGCGATACGCGTGTCATAGAGGGTGTACACAGGTCTACATTTCATTCTGAACGTCCAAGTGCGAGATGCTTTTTACACTTTGGTATACTCTCACAATATCCTTCCTCATGTCACTGTTGCATACATGCCTCCCCAAGAAAAGCAGGGCCAAAATGTTAAGCCTGTGTGTTTACCCAAAGCCAGTGGATGAGGGGAGTAAAGAAGAGAGGGATGGATGTGAGGAGGATCGGGTGGGGTGGGGTGGGGGTGGGGGGGCTCTGGGGCTGATTGTGGAGGCGAGACTGAATGGAGCCGGAGCAGGTAAGGTGAGCGCACAGCGAGGCCAGCAGAGGAGGAAGTATCACAGTTGCATGGAAGGACGATACTTAACACCGCATTCCACACTGTGCTCAGAGAAAAGAGAGGAGGTGGAGCCAGATACGGAGCAGAGGCTGGAGATGTTAGAGGAGGAGAGGGACGGAGACGGAGACAGACGGAGGTGAGACGTGCCGAGAGTAGTGAAAAGATAGCGTGAGAGCGGAAATGGGGGAAGAGAGCGACTACGTTTACATGCATAGAAGAAAGAAATCAGGCTAGAATCTCTGAACACTGCCTCTGCCATCTTGTAATTATAAGATGTCTCGAAAACAACGCTCAAAATTAAAGGATATATTTTAATATCAACTATCTTAGAATAAACAAATGTGTTTTGAGCATTTACAAGGCAGAAATATAGATATAAAACATGACAAATGGCTTGTAATAATATTTAAGCACTGCGTTTTCAAGGTTTAGCAAGAAGCATTGGTTGAAATAGATGCATGTTTTTCCATACACCCAAGACTTCAAGATAATAAAGCATATTTAGCTAGCAAAGATAAGTTTAAACAATCAAATTACAAGGTTTAACAGTAGAAATAAACATCTGTATCAGGTGTGCCCCTGCCTCTGGGAAAGGCCTTTTTAGAGTAGGCCCGGACTACACCACATTCACAGCTTTATCAATCAAAGGGACGCACAGACGATCGACGTCAGAAAACGAGGTGAAAGCTCAGCCAGCGATTTGTCATAATCCGAGAGCCACTGTGGTAAGTAATCATCAACCAATTAGATCTGTAGTTTTTAAGAGAGTCAGAGAATGGGAGTAGAGGAGAGAGGGAGAAGGGAGAAGGGAGGGGGCACGGAGGAGAGTGATTGGTAGCTATATGGAGAGCCAGCTGAGTCATCACCAGTACACTCTGTGCCGCATCACTGCGCTTATAGACAGATCCCCTCCACCTCTTCCGTCTCCCCGTCTATCTGGCTCCACCTCTGTTTCCTGCTCTTTGACTACACACATCTCTTTCCCTGATTCCTCTCATATCTTATGCACCCCAATCACCTCATTTCTTCCAGCCAGCATCACTCCTTTTGTGATTTCAAAAATAACTGCATCTCTGATCTGTTTCTTCCTGTATCTAGCTCAAGTTCCTATCAGGCATGGGAGATGTCATTGTGCCTATTCTAGTCTGTCCATTTCTGGCTGATTTTAATCACTGAAGTCTATCCCTGAAGCAGGATTTTCCCTTTTCTGTTCTTTAAATGTAACAAACCACAGTGTTATCGACAGGATTTCGTAAAAGACTACAGTAGATGGACATTTTTATGAATCCATAGTAGGACATATTAGAGTATGGGGGTCTGTCCTGGTCTACGTAATTAGACGAAACAGCCCTCTAAACATTCAAAGACTTCTTCCCCATCTAATTCTTTTCCACATCACTTGCACAACATAATTGGGGTCTTTCATTTACCTCTGAATTCAAAACACTGATGTTATGGTTTCAGACAATACTGTGGTAACAAGCGCCGTTTCTTCCGCAAAAAGACAACGTGCTCTTATGTGGTTTTCTCTGTTGCTGTTGATTTAATTCCGCACTGTGCCTATGCTCTTCTGATGCCCTCAGACTGTCGGTAGCACTGTAGTTGACGCCAACACCATGGCACTGGGTGGCATCCCGACAGACCTCCATATGGTTGGGTGTTTGTTGTGGTGGCTGGGGGTAGACTCTGGCGTTGATAGGGGTGTTTTTACCACATCCCAGAGCAGTTTCCGGGGTCTCCGAGCAATGTCTATACCCTGTCTGAACAACAGCATTCCCGTCACACCCTTTCCTGTGCCACACACACACACACTTGGATAGCAACGTACAAACACAAACATGTCGTAAACACGAAGCGCGTATAAAATGCGCTCAGTGACAAAAGATAAAGAAGGTGATTTAGACGCCGTACTGTAAGAAGCTTCTAATGTTAGATTGTCAGGAGCCACCAGACTCTGAGCATCATGGTGGCCTCATCGTCTCCTGACATCTGACGGACAGTTCTCTCTCTCTGTCACACAAACACAGATTTACAGTCTCATTACCACAGTGCGGGATTAACCCAGAGCATCTACTGGATCTGTTTTAGATCTACGACACAGAATGAGTTTGTGACAAGAAGATCATGAGCTTTACAGCAACCACAGCAAAAGCTATAAGGATTAAAACTGCAGCGTACAATGGGATCTTTCGAAGCCTCATTGTTATTTCTGAGAATAATCGAATGACCACGCACTCTGCAGCTTACCTGTTTACTATGGTGCCAAAATATTGGAAATGAAATGGAAACATTCAAACTATTTACAGTGTTAGCAAGTAGACATTTCTAATAACGGCTCTGTTATTTTGCATGTAAATGTTAATAATTCAAATTTGGTGAAATGATTATAGGGCCTACATATTATGTTATATGGATAATTATTTTGTTGATTTAAAATCTGCCAAAAAAAGAGCAATACACTCGATGAGTAGTTGATTCAAAGATAACTGTTTTACAAAAAACATTACATATGTTATTTGTGTGAATATCTTTCAAGCAAAATTCCAAATATTTGCTAGTTCCAGCTTCTGTTGTTCTTTTTGTCATATATGATAATTCAGTATAATCGTTTATTGCAGCCATAGTTCAAGAAAACCCAGCTTGTTAAAATAAAGCATTATCTTTCTATATACATTTTGAAATGAAATTATTTTTCATAGGTTTATAAAACAAGCTATATCTGAAAACGCTTTTTCCTTATCCCTAACTACATTAACTTTAGCACACGATTGAGGATTTTTTATTTTGTTAGAATAACCAGGAACACGTTTTCTTGACTTAATTAACTCGAACATACAGCCGCCTTTACATTACACATCAAGTAAAAGGAAATGCTCATAAAAAGGGTAGGCAAATGATTGTGTACTCATGGAAAACCGGAGTGAGTGTGAATGTCCAGCCCCTATTCCATCATTTTGCTTCTTTTCCAAGCTCTTTGTGCGTTTTCCCACATCCCTCATCCCACATTCTCGTCTCCTGAGTAATCTGCCCTTCTCCTGATGATATCATCATGCATCACAGCATCAAGCTCCTATTTTCAGATACCTGCGCCATGGAGGAAAGCCAAATAACCACTTCCTGTGTGTGAGTGTGTGAATGAGTGTGTGTGAGTGTGTGAATGAGTATGTGTGAGTGAGACAGAGAGAGGGGGGGGGTCTAGCAAAGGGGGGCTCAGGATGATCTCATCCAAGAAAATGCACCATCTCTGGTTTGTGCACCTGAGTGTGCATGACAGAGTGGGGATGATTAAATACCCAAGAATGTAAACACATAAACTAGCTGGTTAAATAAATGGTATTAACATGAATTTATGAAGTGTTGCATGACTTATATGTTTCTCCATTATGAATGGACGTTCCCTTACCGATTTGTCTTTGAGCCGCTCGCCCTTGATGTGATATTCCACAGCGGTGGGGCTGGGGCTGGGACTGGGGCTAGGACTAGAAGTGGAGCTACACGGGCTGAGGTTGCTGCTGCTGCTGCCTCCGCTGCCTCCACTGTGGATGCTGCTGCTGTCCTCCGCCCGGCTGACCTTATAGACGGTGACACAGCTAAGGCCTCCGCCCGCCAGGGGAAGCCACCCACCACTGGAGTCATCCCGAGTCATTACCACTGCTCTCACACGCGCATAACTGTCACTGTGGAGAAGGAAAGGAAGGAGAGGAAGGAAGTAGGACAAGGAGAGGGGAAGGAATAACAGGAGAGGGCAGGAGCAGAAAGAAAACAATGCTTTTTAGTGAACGTAATCAGTAGCAATCAACATTTCAACATTTTCAGGGGGATTCTTTTATCACTCTTCTCTGATGACCTTTTATAGCACGATTAAAAACATCATCAAAAGTAGACAGCTTACATTAAATATCAGCCCACATAGTTCAGTTGAACTGCAGCATTAACAAGTTGTAGTACAGTACATGTACACAAAAGTGTTTATAAACGTGAAGTAAGGAACACACCACAAAGACAACATAAAGTTAGGAAATGGGTCTGAAATGTATACACCAAGTTATAAAGTTTACAAATCACATCAGAACTACCCTGTTAATTTGACTAAATAACTCAAAGGAAACTACTGGGGAATCTGGGTTGTGTCAAAAGCTACTACTAGCAATAAGCTATCCTAAAATCTATAGGCCAACTAAAAATAGAATGTGAAGGTGCAAAGTCCAGTATTCAAAATTGGGTTAAATGGTTATTTTGGTTTAAGTGCAGAGAGCAGACAACTGGATAAGATTTCTAAAGTCTGATCAGTGTATGTTTAACCCAGGCCCGAGGGTGACTGACCATGTGGACGAGTTCAGGCTGTGGTTGCTGCTGGTTTCCAACCTTTCCCCTAAGCAGGTGGTTTCAAACTACACAACGAATGACAGGGGCTCCACATCAACATCTTTCCTTTCTTATTGACGAGAATACTGCCGTCTCACTTCGTTCCCTTTAAAGGCTTTGAATCCCAGCATATTACATAAATGATCGACTTATTTGTATAGAAAACATGCTAATAATAAGCCACAAATACTTTTTTACAAAGCATGAATGAAAAATAGGAGAGGCCATTCACTTAATTGTAAAGGCTTTAAGTTTGAGTGGTTTACACACAGCTTACATGAGGCGGTTTGTACAAACATGCTAAAGCTTAGGGTCTCTTCAGACATTAGCATAAACATATGAGTCATCATTCAAATGTCAAACAGTTACTAAGTGGAAAAGGGCTGGACTGCCAGAATAATAATAATCCAGATATAAAAGGTTTGTAGAAAGGAATCAAAACTCATTGTATTGCTGTATTGATCCCAGCATGTCAGTAGACTATCATCTGATGACCCCCTCCATTTCACGCCATAGTTTTATACTGACTATTATAAAAGACATTTATCTATTTATCCCCAATACAATTTTCCCTTCCCACCTCCTTTGCCTCTCTGTCCCTTCTCTTCAGAGTCCGATGTTTCCCTGATTATATAACACAGTCTGCATTGGGCCACCGGAAATGACAAAGGTCAGGGTGTGCTGAGGGCAGCATTTTGCAGACACTTCTGGTAACATATTAAAGGCAGTGGAAGATCTGAGCACGGATAGAGACGGGCGAAGAGAGGGAAGAATGTTCTGCCGGATGTCTTCCTGTGACACATTGCTCTCTGGCCGACGTCCAGGTTGACCAATGAGGGTGACGTCACAGGGTCTGAAACGTTTCCTAAATAATTTCTTCTCTGATGATGGCCAAATAGAAAACAGTGAATAAGGGAGAGAAATGTCAAAAAGTGACAACTAGTGGCTGCTCTCAAAACAGCTGCGTTCTCCCACATACTGCCTTTCCTCTCTTAATCTACTCCATAAGGCTAACCTTTGCCCTGTTGCCTTCCACACCCTTGGCAAACATCAATGCCCAGGTTATTGGTTATTAATTAATCCAAGAGCCAGTGAGCATAAAATCTGAAGCTATTTTGTCTCTTCATGTGAAGCTTTGATATCCTTGCACATGGTAATAGTTGACTAAAGTTCCTTCAAAAGGATTGATGAGCATGATGAATATGGACAACTCAATAATAACTGAATAAATCAAAGACCACACATTTTATTCTGGCTAATTCATGTCTGGTCAGACAAACAGATAAAAGTATAATAGTGTTTTTAAGACATAAGACAAATGTACTTCACTGCAATTTCTTTAATATACGTTAAAAGAAAAATACATACAGTACTCTACTTGCCCAACACTAAACAGCAGACCGACACACTTATGGGACTAGATAGAAAATATATTTTAGCATTTAGCAACTGAAGAGACAAATATTTATCTCAGGAATTGCTACAGACCAAAGATAGAGCTAAAAATAATCAATGTTGAACTACATTCATTAGGTGGCAGAAACAGAACTTGTAACAACTGTTTGCTAACAGGTTCGCAATATTAAATATAAAGTTGACAATGAGTCAATAGAACATTTATCCTTTTCATTTACTTCCATTGAATGATGATTAATCAAATATGAATTGACTTATGAATTACTCTTAGTATCTGGAAAATGGTTCGATGAGAATGACATTTAATTGATAAGTCAGCAAAGCTTAGCTGGCTTGCTATTACATGTTTTTAGTTATACTAAAAACAGATAGGAGGCTTAGTGAGGATGCAAGTCTTTTACTTTATATTAATGTTATATAATAGCAAATATAATGTCACCCTAAATTGTGTTTTTTTCTTCTATTTCCAATGAAATTAAGCAACTATTTTGCTAATCGAATAAACATAGGCAACAAAAAGAAAGAACGGAAAGAAGTGCTAGACAATAACAGTTGCATGAATTCCCTACTTAACAACACATTCGCAGGGATCTTAAAAAAAGATGTTGATTTTTAGTTGGAGGAAGGGGCAAAAAGCGAGTAATCAGGGAAGAGAGAGAGGAAGAGGACGAGAGGTATATGAGAGATGACGACAGTACTAGGATCAACGCGTAGATCTAGCCGAGAATGAGAGGAGGAGAGAGAGAAGAGGGTAGATATAGAGAAAGAGGCTATAGTGTTTTAGTGTACCGTGCTAGTTTAAAAACGAGAACGAGCCGAGAGGACTGAAGATTCGTGGAGAGAGAGATCGAGACGTGAGACCTTATTGAGATTAGAGCAGAGGCTTGTATCGGGAGAGGTGAGTTGACGTATGATGAAGAGAGAGGAGCAGACGCAGAGATAGAGTAGTCATTTCGATCCAGAGATGCGCCAGTCCGACGCGAGGGTGCAATCGGCGTAGGTCGCGCGAGATAGCGAGAGAGAGACGTGATCGCGAGTAGCGTCGAGAGCAACAGTTGCAGAATTTATAAATGACCAACAATATGGATTAATTGTCAACCTAAATGTACTAGTTTCCCCTCTCTCTCTCTCTCTCTCTCTCTCTCTCTCTCCCATGCTGCCCTCAAGCTAAACAGTAACTGGTCGTGGGAAACTGACAGAAAAACATCACCACAACTTACTTCCCCCTTGCAACTACCAAGAAAAACCCTTTCTGGTTACACCTCATAACAGCGTCACAGAAGTAGTGCTTAACCTTACACAAGAACCCCTGCCACAGCCCGAAAATGCATTTTGAGCAGTATAACGGGCAGTAAAAGAGGGAAATACTGCTGCTGTTACACCCCGCTATGGCCCCCAATAAAGGATGCGGGTGATGGGTGCAGGAGGGGCTGTCAGTCAGGCGGGGGTCCCTGGGGTGAACAGAAGGCAGGCGGTGGTGTCGCTCAGCCATGACCAGGGCACAATGACCAGGGCCTGACCCTTCAGACCTACCATCACACACATGCCAGCAACCATGACACTCACAGGGAGGGGGGCTGGGCCCAGAGAGGAAGTTAAGTGGGCTGTGTGTATACGTGCATTTTTGCATCTTGCTGAAAAACCCTAGCAACCTCGTTTTGAGAATAACTGTACCTAAAACTACTAAAGGTGAATAGTCAATAATAATTTAAAATGTCTTGTGAAACCTTCAGACCAACCACTCAAAGATCAACAAACAACTAAACTATAGATCTATTTAATAACATCTTTAAGACAGGGGAATACAAAGGTTACATCCACTCCTCTTTTCCCCCTCACATAAAGAATCTTTCCTTCCTTGTTATAAAAACAGTCAGTGGTCCAAAAAGATATTTGAGTGCAACCTGCTGCAACACACATATACACACACAGTTCAGAGTGGGACGGTGGAGACAAAGGCTGCCCTCCACACCCCTCGCTGGGAGCACACAGTCGACTGGACACACAATTGAGAGCGGAAGCAGATCAGCTGGCCTGGGCCTGAGAGATGCGGGGGGGAGGGGGAGATAGAGAGAAAGGAGCCCCCCGTTTCAAATTATTCCAAGTTATTCTGCTGGATGACTGACTTCATTTCCGACCAAAAGCAGGAGAGAAACACAGAGGGAGGGGTGAGTGAGTAACGGAGGACTGTGGGGAGAGGAGGAGGAGGAGGAGGATGTGGATGGGAACAGGGTGGAGACCAAGGTGACAGTCAACAGCTCCCAGCCACATGTGAATATGGCCTTTTTCTAGTCACAAAAAAGGATGTGCAAAGGCTTTTATGGCATCTATATAATAAGAGTTATGCGGTATCTTACTATTTAAAACCTTATTTGAAGTGAGAACAAAGTGCCAACAAAACACCATGACTTAAAGCGGAGTTAAGCCTACATGTAAAGAATATATTTTAAGAGAAGAGAAGGCGTGATGAGGGAGCACGTGCAGAGCAGGCAGGCCTGGGCCTCGAGGCCGGCTGCTCCAGTGTGTGGTGGAGAAGGGGGATCCTGGGACAACCATTTCCTAAGTTGACAAAGTGGCCGTTTGTCTGCTGCTCCGGCCCATGGCTCACTGGGCTCCAGCATGCCATCATGCTTTGCTCCTGTCTCAGCCTTGGGCTTCCCACCCCAGAGGGGAGTGGTGGTGGAGGGGAGTGGAGGGTATGAGGGGGGGGTATTGAGAGAAAGACAGAAGGGGGAGAAGAAGGGAAGGAGGAGAAGGAAGAAGAGGAGGAGTGCAGGAGGAGAGGAGAGAGAGAAAGGATGTGGCCTGAGCCCTGGGTGCCAGCCAAGTCACCCTCCCTTTCCTCCGCTCGGTCTCCCCCTTCTACCCAACCCCTCCCCGGCTGCCTCTTTCTACA